CACTTGATCAGACCAAAGCAAAGACATCAGTTTGGTTCTAGGAGATGTACTTACAAAAGCATGGAAAATCAGAACCTACAACCTTGCAAAAAGAACCTACTGTGTGGCTTTATCAATGTATTACTGCAGCATCAGCACAGTGCTGTAAAATTTAGTCATAGAATGCTAAATGTCCTGCACTGTCCTCACAACTTTTTATGGAGATGAACTCAGGCTTTGGACTTAAATGACAATGAGCTGATGCTTTGGCTGCAGGTCAAGGCCTTTGAAGACTGATTAAACCAGACTACTAGCTTTACCAGTGGGGGGCCTCTTCTTCTCCATCAGCACAAAACACTATTTCCTTTGGATGCAATGTGAGACCAAGAGGTTCTGTTTCAAGAGCTTGATTTTGATCCACATTTTGTTTTGTACACTAAAAGTTTGCTGATGACTGTAAATGCGTGTGTGTGTGTGTGTGTGTGTGTGTGTGGCTACAGTTTTGCCATAATAAGTTGCTGTTTGCTGGATGAGTGCTAATGTCACTTTGAGTTTTTTTTTTTTTTTTGCTTTTGTGAAAAGTGTAATATAAATATTGGTACAGTATGTTTAAGTAATAAATTTGTCCAACTGTATCTGTAAATGAAGGTTCTTCCACCAGCACTGCTTTAATTAAATCCCAAAATATGCATGGAAAACCAGCACAATATACATTTCCAGCTATATTCTTTACTGGGCAGATCACTGAAAATTATATTCTTCTTATTCTTGGCTACTAATTCAAAGAAACTTTGCTCCTAAGAGACAGTGACTTAAAAATAAAGATACTCAATGAAATGGTTGATCCTGTACTCAGCAGCTGTGTATTCGCTATAAATTATGCTAAGCAACATATTATATAGAGCTCAAAGGAGCTGAACTGCAGTAGCAAGTGAAGTGGTTTGCATTCCACAGATGGTTATTATAAGATACAAGATACAATGACAGGTCTGTTTGTCACCACACAAACATGCATGCAAAACATTCACAAAATACCAGACTGGCAAACAGACCAAAGAATGCATTTCCTGTCTGGGCAGGAAGTTTGGTGGACAGCAGCCTACACACACACACACACACACACACACACACACACAGAGACACATTCTAGGTACCACAGTTCAAGTTTGAGAAAAAAGTCAGCTGTTTGACTGATTATGAGTGTACAATAGTATAAATTCTGAAAAGAAGGCCACTCGAAATACATATTCCTGCATCAGTGGTGCCAAGAACAGCCTTATTCAGACAAATCCCTACATAATCAACAGCTGGTCATGCTTGTGTGTGTGTGTAGTGAGTGGTTGAACCAGGTGGTATGATCAGCAGTAGCAACCCACTAACATTCCATCCTCCTCTCCCATGTGTTTCATTCTTCATACTTGCCAGCAGGACTTCAGATCTGGACATCAGCAGCAGTATTTCTATTCAAAGTTTCAACAAGTTATGATGCATTGAAGTGAAATACCTGAGTACAAAAAGGCTAATTTAACACTGGGAACTGATGATATTCACTATCAATTCCTTGTCCAGTTTGGCTGGATTTCACTTCAGATTTTAATAACATGAGTTCACTTTACTCACACGTCTTTTTCTATGGGCCTATATTTTTATATACATGTGTTTTTCCTATTTTAATATGTCAAAACATCCTCAATGAAAAAGGTCCATTACAAATGCCTGATGTCAGTTTTATCATGAGCATAGTTACATTTGTTGTACACGTGGAGGTTTACTGTCATGTTTGCTATGTTTGGTTTCATTTCAGGATGAAACTAGTAGGCTATAATTTGTATGTAAAAGGGATGTATTCATTTATTCATTCACCTCTGAGTCTTGCTATTTGTTTGAGATGATAAAAAGCTGATTTATTTCTGGCCTTCATGTGACTGGTGAAGCTCAGGTCTGAGTCAATCATGACACCAAGATTTCTAACTTTTTTTGCCTTTATAGCTCTAGAATTAACCAGAGCAAAAAGATTTGTCCTTTCTTTCTTGTTTCCAAAAACAATAACTTCAGTTTTGTCTTTGTTTAACTGAAAGAAATTTGATTGTCTCCAGATACTGACTTGCTCTAAGCACTGACAGAGAGAGCCCAAAGTTCCCTTTTCCACCGCCTGGTACCGGCTCAACTCATCTCGACTTGCCTTATTTGTGTTCCTATCAGTCACATGTTGGGGATAGTAGCTGGTATCTGACATTATTTTTGGTATCACCTCAGTCGAGGTTCCAAGTGAGCAGAGGTGATACCAAATGGTGACGTGTAACCACTGCAGACTGGCAATTGGTCAGAAAAATCACATCACCAACGTGCAAGACGTCCTAGAACAAAGAAAGCACCATTTTCAAAAACAACGTTATTTAACATTAACTGCTACTTTTGTGTAGTTACTCTACTAACTAAAAAGAGCTGCATACTGAGAATGAAGAACAGCATACCTTCAGTGTCCTCCACTGTTACTGTGTCAGTTGCTCGCAACGTCATGGCAGTTTAATGTTGCTATGACAACCAGCTACACTGAGAGGGCACCATCTGCAGTGGAAAACCAATGACCTGGTACCAAAAGCGAGTAGCGTTGAGTCAAGTTGAGTCGAGCTGGTACCAGGCAATGGAAAAAGAGCTTAAGGGACCATAGTCACATCAGGCCTCTGACCTTTCAAGAACTGACACAGGATCTTCAGGAAAGGATGAAGACAAAAAGTTTAGCAAAGACACTGAGGAAACAGCTACAGAAAACGGTGGAGAAAACAGAACTACTTTCCAGAAATATTCTTTGCTCTCTTCTCCTGTCCTCTCTCCTTTACTCTCCTCTTTTCGAGAGCTGCTAATTAGCATTAGCATGTAGCCTCTGCATCAGCATGTAGTGTACTTATATGCTAACAGGCATCCCACCGGCAGCCTCGGAGAATCACCACAGGCACTTCCACTGCAGGAAGAACACTAAAAATACAGAAACACAGACCTATAAATTGAATACATGTGAATTAATGTGTCAGTTATAAATAACCAAAGGGACAGCCAGAGACTTAAGAAATGTTGCATGTGTAGCATTAGTTATTAAAGTTTAAATACCCAGTGCTTTGTGCTGATATTTAAAATCCTCAAAGAAATAATTAATGACATTGTCATACTGAATACATGCATATTAAGTAACTATGATAATATACAAAGGCAGTCCAAGCAATTAGCATTTGTTCCTATAAACCCAATTTGGTATAAGTTTCCCAATGAAGGTAAATTATATTTTTGCACTCAGGTTCAAAAACACACACAAACAAGCATGCACAAAATACTGTACATCAAATGACAGATGGTTGAACATGGAGCCAGTCTGGGGTTTTGGATCCTCATCTCTTCATTGCAATGATTGCCTCTTTTGTAGCCAATATTTACTTCCTTTTTGTAATAGAGAATTGCAATCATTTTAAGATATGGGAGGAAATGGTTTTATTATATTATTTATTTCCTTGGAATTCACATTTTCTTCTGACCTGGCAAGTCCTATTTGAACATTTCATGATGCCAGCTCAGAATGAACCTCCTTTCATTGCTGCCCTCTAATCTCATCCTGGTTCTTATCAATTTAATTTACTTATATTTCAAAGCACATCATTTATTTATTCAGGAGTAGTGCAGAGGAAAGTGGGATGGGAGGAAAGATTAGTCTTTACCAATCCTTCATTTACTAAACTCCACTGTTGGACAGTAATGCATTATTTAGTAATACATTACTTTAATATTGTTTCTTTTATTGGTAACAAGTAATTGCACTTTCCAAAAGGGTCCTTTTATTTCATTTACTAATAATGCTATATTCCTGCATTTCCTAAATGTGGTTTGATTGGATATGGGGCTGAGACTCTCTACCATTTCTCAAACATACCAAACATTTACATGAAGTGCAACCCTCCAACCCCATCTGATATATCTGTGGAGCAACTTTGTTGCTTAGGAGGTTTGATGCTCGCCCCTAGAAGAAACAAACTGTCTGGCAAGAGATGTGAGAAGCTTTTCCTTATGACATACAATTTCTGTTTCCCTTCTGAACAGTAGGACCTAGTTTGAAATGTCATTGTAGTTAAATAGAAAAGATGTGACATGTGGGTGTGGTGTTGATTAAAGGCACCTTTGATGGAGCTGACCACTGAGTAATAAAGTAACAAGAAATGTTAGCTACACATCTTTTGCTACTAATTAGTAAAGGCAATTCAAAGTGCTTAACACAACACCCAGTGCCCAACACTAGGGCTGGTCACAGAAAAACTAGGGTTTTGTGCTGTGCATTACGATGCATTATGTAATGGCACCACCTTAGCTACAATGCTAATGTTGCTAGCAGTAGCTTGCTACATTTTAGAGACTCAGACAGTGTTTTTTGTTTGTTTTGTTTTGTTTTGTTATGTTTTAACAATCATGGTAACCACACCTACATGCTAATATTTTGTCAGTTAGTTAGCCTCTCTGGATTTGTCTGGTCTAAATATGAGCATGTTATTTGATAATTTGGGAAATTCAGAAACACATGTGGGCTAATTAGTTTCTCATTAGGACAACTGGTGGTGAACAGCCAGCACCCAACTTTAGTCAAAGTTCAACAAATTTGAGCTTTCAGCACACCTCACCTCTGTGCTGTGCATCGTGGATGTCTGCACTGAGACTGCACAACATACGCAATGATGGAGAAGTGCACAGAGAAGCTATTTAATAATGTGAACACATCTTTAGGCAAAATAAAGGCACACTACAACACAAATCAGTCTCATAATGCAACTATGGCACACCACACTACAAGCTAACATTGTTACTCACAAAAATAAAAAAAGTAATCTTGATTATCACACATGATGGAACACAGCAGATTCCGATCCTGTAGTGTGATTAATGTGATTCAATCGTTTTTGGAATTCTGTAACCAGCCGCTGCACTATATTGAATTGAATTAAAGAAAAAGCAAGAGCAGGGGAGACAGAAAACTCATGTTGAAGGAGAAGCGGACTGGACAGAGTCATAGCACACAAAAAAAGATGAAAAGACCAAGTGAGCAAGAGAAGGAAAGCCGATCAGTCATAACAAGGCCCAGCTTCACATTCTAGAGTACTTGAGCAGATGATTAGTCTCACAATCACCAAAACAGCACCAGCTACTACAACTACATAAATACAAAGATCAACTGTAGGCAGGAGAGGAGACAAGATAAAAAAGAAAACAAAAAAAATTAGATGAAAGCAAGTAAAAGCCAATTTTTCCTCACAACCATATCATGTGCTTTTGCTCTCTTTTTCCTCTCAAATATCTTTCTTCTCATTTCCACAAGTCAGCTCCATGCCTACAAATCACTGGGGTCGTTATAGTTAATTTGCCATCCTCGTGCGAGCATTAGGGGTACTAGGGGATTAGGGAAAGGCTCAGCTTTCACCACACTGTTTGTGTCAACAGGGCAGCCTAATGAAGCATGCTGGGAGTGTCACAGAACACTTGTCTTGCTGATTATGCTTGATTGGGTAAGTCTTCTCTGTTTTAAATGATACCAGATTCCTTGTTAATAAACAACGAGGAACACCCGAGGAGTAAAGAAGCCACTGAAGCAGCAGATTTTTTGTAATGTTCAGCTTCTCAAAACAGATATTATTATCAGTGTTAGCTATTATTATCTGGTCGGTATTTGTATTGTGTCTCTATCCAATCTAAGCTACCAATTATAAATCTTAATTCTGCACGTTTAATGAGCAAATCATGTAATAGAGGCTTAAACAGA